GGGGCGCCGCTGCCCCCCAAAGCCCACGGGAGGAGCACGTAACAGTCAGTCGAGGGGTGGGTGGCCCCTCCGGAGCACTGTACGTTACAGTTCCAGCCGGAGATTTACTCCTTACTGGAACAGGCTGAGAAGGTAGCACAGTCCCCTAGCAGAGAGCTTCTGCCCTGCACAGAGACACTCGGGGCTGCGCTGCCCCAGCCCAGACTTGATGCCCATCTGTGCTCCCGAGCTGTCTCTGGCTTAGAAGAGCCTCCACGTTCCACACTGCCTCACTGATCTGTGGTAACCTGTCACTGCTCCAGCTGAGCTCCCGTGCAGGAGAGGGGTCCAGTCCACCACCAGCGTCTCCCAGCAGACCAAATAAAACATTTTATTGGAAACTGAGTCTTAAGACAAACCTCTTTCAAGCCTGTTTTATTTTTCTCAAGTGAACAGAGGGAAAGGAACTATACAGTTTGATTGCAGAATACTGTTAAGCACTTTTTAAAAAAAAGGTGTAGAAAGTACTGACAAGGAGCAAGCCTTTTAAGTTTTTCTGCCACTCCCAGAAGTGAGCAGGTTTCATCTACAGTTTCAAAGAAGAGACCTATTTAAATAAAGTTGACTTCAATACTTTAAAGTATAGTACTCTGTGGAGAGAGAAAATACCACTACCAAAAAAAAAAAAAACAAACCCACAACACACACTTCCCCTAACAGTATTTAAAAGAAACACGCAGATACATCGTAAGCATCAAGTCACACCAATTTACATCCGAAGAAAAACAGCTCAAACAGGTACTGGTACACAGACATTGTGTCCCCTGCAACCTGGCATCACTACTGTTAAACCCTTTGCAGCCTGATGCCCAGATTGTTCCTGGGGCGCAGTCTGGCTGCAACAGTGACCATTACCTCTTCCATTCTTCCCTATCTCGCGTTGTTCATCAGCATTCATTGATACTCAGAGCCACAACTCTGAGAACAAAACCCTTCTTATACTTAAGGTGTTCCCCACACTTTCTGAAGCATTTAAATGGCAAGAGGTGCAGTACATTTTATGTATTTAAATACATGAATGTGTATAAATTCAGAATTCAATATCAAAGAATTTTCAACAGTCCTGTGCTTGCAAGTGAAATATAGTGGTATGCCAAAAAAAAAAGTTCCAAGACTCAGGCATGGCCTGCATTAATTTTCTCACATGGTGGAATAGTACCATCAGTTGGAAGAGCTTTACTTTCAGTGGATACCAGCCAAAGCAAGTATACCAGAAATAAACTGGTTTTACCTTTGCTTATCTTACTTTGCTTGGGAGGGGAATGCTATACACCTTTTAAACTAATTTAACTGCTTCCCCCCCCTTTATACACACTTGCCTAAACAGCCCCCCCCATCAGTGTTACAGCCTGATCTACACGAGTTGGATACAGCCGTGCTGACAAACAATGGTGGCATGCAGCCTTCAG